GGCTAGGGTTAAAGGCATGTGCTACCTCTGCCTGGCTTCTATGTTTAATATAGAGGCTGTTCTGTTCTCTGACTCCCAGATAAGTTTATTGGGGTGCACAATATTTCAACCACACTAACACATTTGCCAAATTTCTTTGAGTCATATATCTCATTTGAGTAAATCCATGCACCTGGGTATTCATAAATTGCTTCCATATTCATGATGTGTTAAACTTCACATTTACTATGTTTCTTATTACCTTAATCTAGTAACCAAAATTAGAAATGTGAGAGACAACTTAGACTCCTCCTCTCCCTTCACTAGGTAATTAAGTTCAGTTCATTTTATTAATTTCTGATAGGTTCCTTCCTTAGGGAAGGCCATCCTGAGAACAATGACAACCTGGCATCTTAAAACAATTTCCTAACGAGACTCTAGTCTTGTCATCCATCCCTTTACAGTTTAGATGAGCTGTAACATTCCATATTGCTGCCAGAGTAAAACTTCTAAAACAAGTATGAGCCATTATTCTTGCACGGAATACTTAAATAGCTTTAGATCACCCTGAGAAGAGAACCCCAAATTGTAGATAGAAAAAATATGATCTAGCTCTTTCTTGGAGGGTTTCCTTCCTTACCCAGGTTTAAACTGCAGTCTTATAAGGTGTGAAGACTAACTCCTTAACTTACCACTTGAGACGATAAAAGCAGGATTGCTTGTGAGTTCAAAACAGTCCTGGGCTACTTGCTGAGTTCCAGGATAGTCTTGGCTATTGAGTGAGAATTTTTCTCAAAACAAACACACACAAATAAACAACCAAATAAATAAGCAAGCTAGCTGCCTAACTGAAGTCCTAATGAAGTAGATTCTTGTATCTAGTTACAGGAAATATGTTTGAATTTAGGAAACTTAAGATCAGAAGCTTCTCTACAATAGCACAGAGAACAAAAGGTCAGAACCACACACGTGTAGCATTGACAAGAAGAAGGGCACAACTTCAAAGGCTACAAAGACCAGATGACGACAGCTTGCAAATACAGATTCTGCTGTCAGGGAAGGAATCGGCAGTGGCAGCAGCTGTGTAAATCTGCTGGCATGGCTTGAGGGAAGGCCAAGTGAACAAAATTTGAGAATAAACTTCCTTCCAATGTCAAAAGCAGTATCACAGTCCTGGAGGGATTACAGAAATTGGAGCCACCATCAAGGATTTGAAAGATGCAAGGGTGGGGGCTCTCATCACATCTCTCTTTAACTCTCCTATTCGGCCAAGAGAGGAGAGATGGACCATGAAGAATGACAGTTAACTATCACAAACTTAATGACGTAGCAATTGTAGCACCTGTACCAGATGTGTTGTCCTTACTTGTACAGATTAACATAGATCCTAACACAGGGCATGTAGTTATTGATCTAGCAAAGGCCTTTTCCTTGGTACTTGCCCATAACAACCACTAGAAACAATTTACTTTCAGCTGGCAAGACCAGTAGTATACTTTTACAGTTTTACTTCAAGGATATACTAACTCTCTAGTCCTGTTTCATAATGTAATTCAAAGGTATCATGATCTTCTGTCTCTTCTACAAAATATCACACTAGTCAACTATATTGAAGACATTATGCTCAGACCATAAGCAGGAAGCAGCAACCACTTTGGACATGTGGATAACACATACGTGCATCAGAGGATGGGAAATAAATATAACTGAAATTCAAGGACCTTCTACTTCAGTGAAATTTCTAGGAGTGCAGTGGTGTGGGACATGCAGAGATATTCCTTCTAAGGTGAAGGATAAGTTATTGTACCTAGTCCCTCCTACCACCTAAAAAAACGCACAACATTTAGTGGGCCTATTTAGATTCTAGGGACAGCATGTTCTTGAGGTGTGTTACTCTGGCCCATATACCAAGTTATGCAGGAAGCTGCTAGCTTTGAGTGGGGCTTGGTACAGGAAAAGGCTCTTTAACAAGTCCATGCTGCTATGCAGGCCACTCTACCAATGAATCATATCATCCAACAGACCTGATGGTAGTTGTGGTGTCAGTGGCAGACAGGGATGCTGTTTGGAATCTTTGCAGTCTCCTCTAGGTGAATCACAGAGATTTTGGGACTTTGAAGCAAGGCTTTACCATTATCCGCAGACAACTATTCTCCCCTTGAGAGACAGATCTTGGCTTGCTATTGGGTCTTAGTAGAAACTAAACATTTGACAATGGGCCACCAAGTTACCATGGAACCATCATGAGCTGTTACAATGTCATCTCCCAAGCACGCACCTGTAGCCTCACGGGATGTGCCCTATAACAGGCTGACTGAGAGAGGTCAGGGCAGATAGTTCGACATGCTAGACAGGCAACCACCCCAAAGTGGACAGCTGTGGCATTACAACTCATTTCTGGGACAACTCTGAAAGATACTTGTGAAGGGAAATCTTCAGCCGGCAGAACTTCAGGCAGTACACATGGTCATACATTTTTCTTGGAAGGAGAAATGGCCAGATGTGCGATTGTTCATTGATTCATGGGCTGTAGCCACTGGACTACCTGGATGGTTAGTGACTTGGAAAGAACATGATTTGGAAAACTGGTGAGAAAGACATTTGGGGAACAAGTATGTGGATAGATCTTTCCAAATAGGCAAAGGATGTTAATTGTGTCCCATGCAAATGCTCATGAAAAGGTGACTTCAAAGGAGGCGTTCAATCATCAATTAGACAGTATGACCTGTATTGTGGACAGTCAGCCTCTTGCCCAGGCCATCCTTGTTATTGCCCCATGGGCCCATGAACAAAGTGGCCTCGGTGACAGAGATGGAAGTTATGCGTGGGTGCAACAACATGGGCTTCCTTGTGCCAAGGCTGACTTGGAACAGTTGCAGGTGACTGCTAGATTTGTCAAAAGCAGAGACCAACACTGAGCCTCAAATATGGCACCATTTCAAGGGTGACCAGCCAGAGACCTGGTGGCAGGCTGACTACACTGACCACTTCCTTTGTGGGAAGGATAATGCTTTGTCCTTACTGAAGTAATACCTAATCTGGGTATGGATTTGCCTTTTCACATAATGCTTCTGCCCAAACTACCATCCATGAGCTTAATGAATGCTTCATCCACTATCATAGTATGCCACACAGTACTGCTTCTGACCAAGGAACTCACTTCACAGCCAGAGAGGTGTGACAGTGGGTCAAACTCAAGGACTCCACTGGTCTCACTGTGTTCCTCATCATTCTGAATCAGGTGGTACTAAAACTACAAACATATATTTCATTTCTTTCTTCTTTTAAAAAAATATAAACTCATGCTGGGCTTGGAGAACAAGTCTTTAACCCCAGCACCTGGAAGGAAGAGGCAGGTCTGTTTTAACAAAGTGAGTTTCAGGCCAGCCCAGGCTATATTGAGACCCTGTCTCACACCAACCAACCAACTAACAATACAAAAATATAGTCACAATGATTGACATAAACCAACCGTCCACTTTAATAGATTATAGTACAAATAAGAAAACCACTCAGCATGCTGAAAGGGGGTGAGTGCTATGGGAAAATGAAGCACTTAAGAATGATTGGGAATGCTGAATGAGGGTGCATTGCTGCTCTGAAATGCTGTTCAAGAGAATCCTCATTCAGAAGGTGATATTTGACCCCAAAATGCCCCCCCCCATCAAGACATCTCTTTCATTACTATCCCCCACCCTAACCTAGTCCTTCGTGCTCCCATCCCTGCTGGCCCCCAGTCTACCCAGGAGATCTCTTCTATTTCCCCTTTCCAGGGAGATCCATGCCTCCCTGTCCCCCTTTGAGCCCTCCTTGTTACCTAGCCTATGTGGGGCTGTGGGATTACAGCAAGGTTCTCCTTTACTTTACAGCTAATGTACTCACTTATGAATGAGCACATACTATGTTTGTCTTTCGGAGTCTGGGTTACCTCACTCAGGATGATTTTTTTTCTAGTTCTATCCACTTGCCTGGAAATTTCCTGATGTCAGTGTTACTGAGTAACACTCCATTGTGTAAATGTACCACAATTTCTTTACCAATTCTTTGGTTGAGGGGCATCTAGGTTGTTTCCAGGTTCTGGCTATTACAAATAACACTGCTATGAATGAATATAGCTGAGCAAGTGTCCTTGTGGAATGATGGTGGGGGGTGTGGCATTTGGGGTCAGATAGAAACTTGGTGCAAGGGAAACTCCCATGAATCTACAAGGATGACCTCAGCTAAGACTCTCAGCAATAGTTGAGAGGGTGCCTGAATTGGTCATCTCCTGTAATCAGATTGATAACTACCCTAATAATCACTAGAGAGCCTTCATCCAGTGACTGCTGGAAACAGATACAGCAATCCACAGCCAAACACTGGGCCAAGTTCTGGGAATCCTGTTGAAGACAGGGAGAAGGGCCTGTAAGAGCCAGGGCGAGTCAAGATCATCACAAGGGAATCCACACAAACAACTAACCTGGGTTCACAGAAGCTCACTGACTCTGAACTGACAGCTCAGAAGCCTGAATGGGACTAACCTAGGCCCTCTACATCCGTGCGACAATTGTGTAGTTTGATCTACCTATAAGACTCCTAGTGGTGGAAGCGGTTCCTGTCCCTAACATTTTGGCTGTTTCCAGGAACCTGTTCTTCATACTGGGTTGCCTTGCCCAGCCTTAATACAAGGGGAGGAGCTTAGTTCTATCTTAACTTGATATGACATGCTTTGTTGACACCCATGAGAGACCTTCCCCCTTTTTGAACAGAAATAGAGGAGGAGTGGATTAGGGGTGGTGTGGGGGGACATAATGGGGGTGGGAGAAGGGAATAGGAGGAGAGGAAGGAGGGGAAACTGCAGTCGGGATGTAAAATAAATGAAAAATTTAGTTAATAAAAAAGAAGGTGAGCTGAGGGGTGGGAGGATGGAGGAGAGGGGGATCTTTGTTTGTTATGTAAAATGAATAGAAAATTTCTTAATAATAAGAAAAAGAAGGTGATATTTGAAGGTACTGCACTGAGGATGTTACTTACTTACTTACCGAGGATGTGAAAAGACACAGAAGGTAACATTCCTGGCAAAGAGAACAGGCAGCACAGGCCATGAGTTTAGTGTGTTCAAACAAGAAGGCCAGCATGGCTAAACAGAACAAACAGTATGAGAGGAATCAAAGTTGAGATCAGAGTTAAACAGGCTGTAGGAAAAGGGCCTAAAGGCAGTCAGGGCCCAAAGCAGGAATCTAGTTAGGAGGCCACGCAGGATGGTGACTGAATGATCCCATGGCGGTGGTAAAATGGTTTTAATTGTGAGTATATTCTGAAGCATAAGTCAATAATTAAAATGGTTCTCTGTTAGAGTGAATGCTGGGTAGATAGTGATCTTATTCTAAGAAATGGGAAGGGGTGCATCTTATGAAAACAGAAAAAGGAGCATATGCCTGTAAAGTTTTGAAAGTGGAAGGACTTGTGCTGTAACTCCTGCAAAATTGGCCTAGGGGTTGAGAACAGAAATCATGGACAGTGTGCATCTCCCATAGTGTCCACTTAAACATTTTATAAATGTTTATAAATAGGGTATTTGTTAGTTTAGCTTTGTTTTCTGAGGCAGGGTCTCATTCAGCCTAGATGACCTTGAGCTCTGGATCTTGCTCCCACCTCCCTAGTGTTGGAAATATGGGTAGGTGCCATGATGCTTGCTTCAATATATTTTAAAACCATGAAGATTGCTGGTCATTTTTGTTACACTACCTTCTCATGAGTTCTAGTGGTAAGAACTCTGTTCATTTAACCTGTCTGGCATTTGTGTTCTTTAACATCGTATTTAATTCTGCGTCTTTGGTTTGAGAGATAAAACATGCCCTGGCATTTTTCAGATAGGCTTTATCTGATGACCTTGATGCTCCTAGAATAAGGCTTTACTGTCATTTACTTCCAATACTGAAATTTATTACTGGTAAGGTGAAAAAGAAACTAGGTGACAGGTCAAACTAAAATCATAATCCATACTAGTAGTTTTATAAATACGACTTTTCCTCCCATATCAAGTGTTTTGGCATGGCTTTCCAAATATACTCATAATACAGACTTCTACTTAGTCAGAAACATATGTCTCCTTATTTTCTACCTTTTATTAAAGGGAATGTGTCTGATGAAGACATAGTGATAATTGAGAGCAACACATTGAAAGGTTTCCTATTGAGACAGCAAGAGTATGCAAGCAATTTAACACACAATTTGTAATTTTTCCATATTCAGTAAGTGAAGAACGTGTCTTCAGTGCTCTGATGTGAATCCTTTCTTAAATAAAATGTGCTATAACATTTATACTGTCAAAAATGACCCAAAGAGTTATTACAACCATTCTCAATGTGCCATTAAAATGCCACTTTTAAGAGATTCTACATAGAACTCATCTCCTTGTTCATTTCTATAAAAAGCAACTCCTATGGCTTGACTTTCTTTCCAATGCAGCAAACAGACTGATGAATTGCGAACAGTATTAGCCACATGGAATAAAAAGATCACAATTTGGAAACATACAACATTTCTTGTGGTTCAAGGAAATTTTAAAACGTGAGTTGTATTTTAACAAGTAAGAGGTTCTTGAAAATTGGCAGTATTATATGAATCAACCAAAATACTATAATGAAAGATTCCCTAGAAAATCCTTCTCTGAATCACTCAATAGAGTAAATCAACTCAAGTACCATTTCACTAAACAAAGAATATGAAGAATATTAGCACATAATTCTGTATAGAGACATTTCAAAGCATTTTTGGTGATTATGCATAACTTTCTTATGAGTAATATCTTCTACATCACATAAAGATTAGCTTTTTCTCCCATTTCTCTTTTTCCTTTTTCTTTCTTTTAGTTGTTGTCTGGGACTGATGCTGGGAGCCAGCCCTAGGCATGCGAACACAAACTCTACAAGTAAGCTTCATCCTCTCAACCAACACATATAATTAAGTTTGAAAGTCTAAAATTTAGTACACATACACACACACACACACACACACACACACACACACACACACACACACACTTTTTTCTACTCTCACTGTAGTTTCTTGAATTTCCACGTTCTGTTATGTTTTGGGCCCTTTAATGACACTCCTATTTGATTTAATAAAACCTCACTTATATTTATGGATTAAAAATAAATAAAGCTTTATAGTTTATAACTGATGAGGATGAATGTAAGTATGTATAATGAGATTAGCATTTTGCATTGAAAATATAATAAGGAATGCTGGGCACTGTGGTGCACCTTTAATCCCAGCACTAGGGAGGTAAAGGAAGAGTCAGACAGATTTCTGTGAGTTCTGGGTTAGCTAGGGATACATAGCATACACAGTGAGAGGCAATCCTTCTCGCTCACATTATATATATATAGCATAACAAAAAGCTATTGACATGTCTTGAGAATTTTATTAATTTCTGGATTATTCCTTTACACTTAAACTTCCAATAATATACTTAGTTCATACAGAAACCATTTGGGTGAATAGTATTATTATTTCTAATCCACCTAAGCTTAGCAAAAATGAAGTTATATGTAGGTTTTTAATGACCCTAAAATAAATAGCACTTTAATAAATATCATTGCTAAATCCTCTTTCAACTATATACAAGTCCCAGGTCTGGAGAGTTGGCTCAGCAGTTAAGAGCACTTGTGGCTCTTGCAGAGGGCCTGAGTTCAATTCCCAGCACCCACATGGCAGCTCATAACTGTCTATAACTTCAGTCCCAGGGGATCTGAAGCCTTCTGACCTCCAAAGGCACCAGGCACACATGTGGAGCACATATATACATGTAGGAAAAATACCCATAGACATAAATTAATAAAATAAACCAAATTTAAAAAAGAGCCAAGCCCCAAATGGTGCTTTAAAAAGACTAGTTTGATACAATTTAATCTAACCGAGTGATCTGAACAATCCAGAGAGACTCCTATACAGAAGCCACTGGCAGAGAATATCACATTAGCTCCACTCCATGGACTTCATAGAGCAGGCTCCAAATGAACATGCTGGGAAAGGCAGGCCATGTGTGTACTTCAAGAAAGTGTCTAGAGGGTTTCCTATGTGTATGATAAATCAGGCTTGAGGAGTAGACTTCACACTTTCCTGCCCTTTACACACTTTAGAATGCTTCTCCCTACAAAACCAAAATGAACAGAAAGAATGTAGCAAAAAACACTGCTTAAAACACAGTTCTTGGTAGGACTAAGAGTGACAGGTCTGCAGTGGCCCCAGAGCTGACAGGGTTCTTTTACATGATTGCCACTAACCTTTAAGTCACAGGCTTAATTTAGAATTGAATTTAAACTTAGGATTCCAGTGCAGCTGGGGAGAAGGTGCTTTCCACAGTCATTTTGCTATCTTGAGGTGCTGTGGCCATCAATCATCAAGGGAGCTCATAGTGCCATCAGAAAGGCTGTTGTAAGTGTACATGTTTTAGGATATTTACGTTCATTCACTGGCATCTAGATATTAGTGTGTGTGAGGGATATTATTGGCAAGCTTAAGCTAGCATTTTGTGGTGTACCTTCTGGTCTCACTGGAAGAAAATAGGAAAGGGACAAATATTATTCATGTCTAAACTGAGTTATTTTCTTTGATACTTTAAATCCATGCAACTATGAATAATGCATGATAGCTTAGTTTTAATGGCTAATAATGAGTGGTGTTTTCTTAAAATGGTTTAAATGATATGACATTAGCAATTGTATACTTCCCACTGTAAATCTTAAAATACTAACAGCAACACACGAGTTAAATAATTTCTGCCTTTAAGCTTGCATATCAAATGGGAAATAAAATTAATCTTCTAGGTTGTATGCACTAGCTTAAAGACATATTGACAACTTCTTTTAGAACTTATATCCTTTAGGTATTGTGATTCAATATGCAAATGTGTAAGCAAAGAAATCATTCAGCTAACTTTTATGGTTTTATTTTGAAAATCAGGCTGATGTCTAAGGGAAATGAAGGTCCTTTACTTTCCATCTGAAATCTTTAATTATAAGCATTATACAGTTGAAAAGCATCCTAAATTTGACATTATCTTAGCTCTACCTTTATTTACTTTTATATAATTATCTTGATGAAATATATAATTATAGCATTATACAAAATTACTAACCCCCTTTTTTTAATGTTTCCTAAGTGATAAACACATTGCATATGGATTCAGGCAATAAATCTGAAATTAAAATAGCTAAGGGTTATAAAAGTAGAAACTGTAATTCCCTCATGTTTGGTTAGGAAAAAATAACCTTGAAAAACTGGTTTTGGAAAAATATTTTATGAATAAACTTGGAAGATGAAATTACAGTTTTATAAGTGATTTAAATTGATAGTTTAATGCTAAAATGAGAGGGAAATACAACAACTATTGACTTCGATACTGTGGAAAAAGAAAAGGGCTCTGTGCATTAATTCTTTAATTTGTATTATTGAGGAGTGTCTTAGAGAAAAAATATCATATTGTAACAGTTTTGTTCTATCTTTGGTGTCTTCAGCATCAAATTGTTACTCTTAAAGGGGGAAGGAGTCTCCCATTTAGAAAACAATGAAGTGCACTCTGGAACAACTGGAGGGAGAGATACTTTTCTCCAAGCTGCAGAGCACTTTCAAGGTCACTAAAGGAATGGAGAGAGCTAGCAGGGACACAAGATTGCACAAACTGAACTTTAAACCATTATCATAAAATAATCAATCATGTTTCACACAAGTGGTAATAGATCTAAATGTCTACTGACTAGGAACAATGAATATGTAAGCTCATGGGATATTACTATCCAATGTTATTGAGATGTTATCAACTTGGCACCTCCCCTCTACCTGAAGGATGCATTTACAATACTCAGTGGCTTTGGCTCTTATTAGTCATCCTGATTGGGATGCACACAGAGTTTCCATCACATGTCTATCATGGCAAGAGGAAGAGAGAATATAGACTAGTGTAGCCCTCAGACATCATCAGAAACTTCTTTTTGTAGTTGATGGCCATTAACATAGAGACGCACAACTGGTCAAAACATTGCAGAGTGCTCAGCTCTGAATTGGA